CCAGCTAATAAATGTAGAAAGACTGATAGGATGGGGTGAGGTGGGGGTTGGAGAAATCACCAGTTTTATAATCCCTAATGAAATAATGTATTCAGACAATGATTATTAAAGAACAAAATCATTAGTTGAAAAAAACTGATGGGGGAGACTTCACAATAGATCAGGATATTATTCCCTGGAGCTATTCTGTTGTTGAATCTTAGAAATACTAAAAGTGGGGCAACCAGACCATACAGGCCTCCTGGGGTGATATTAAATGAAGTACACTCCACCATTGAAGCAGAATTCTTGTCAGAAAGTAGAATCTGAATCTAATCAAGCCTCTAAATCTAACTTCCAGTTTCTAATAATCTGGGTGACAGAGAAAAAGGTTAAGTTACAATCGGACAAATGCAGCACATGAATCGTTCTATTGCACACTGGCTTGACTTCTTTAAGTAAATGACTTGGGAAAGGGGGGAACATACCAGATAAAAGAGACTTAAGAGGCTCAATAGCCAAATGAAATGTATGTACTTTGGATTTGATGTAACTAAACCAACTATAAAAAGACAATTTTGAGAAATATGTAATAGGTAGTAAGTGATATCAAAGAATTAGCATTCAATTGTTTGGTGTGACAATGGCCATTATAGTTTTGTAGAAAAATGTTCATATTAACAGATGCATACTGAAGCATGTATGTTGCATATAACATGTCTATGTCTAGGGACTTTAGAATAAAAGAGGAAAGCGATAAATGAATCTGGGTGTGTGCATATGGGAGCTCACCATACTGTTCTCTTTACTTGTGTATAAATTTGAAATTTTTCTAAATTTGAAATTTTTCTAAATTTTTAAATAGGAAGAAAAACAAAAACATTGAAAAATGAAAAACAAAAACTCTTGCAGTGTTATTTATGATAGCCAAGATTTGGAAGCAACCTAAGTGCCCATCATTAGATGAGTGGATAAAAAAAACTGTGGTACATTTACACAATGGAATATTATTCAACCATAAAAAAGTAGGATGGACCTGGAGAGTATTAGGCTAAGTGAATAAAGCTAGTCAGAGAAAGACAGGTACCATATGATTTCACTTATATGTGGAATATTATGAACTAAATAAAGTAACTAACAAAATAGAAACTGACTCATATATACAGAGAACAGACTAACAGCTGTCAGAGGGGAGGGGGGTTGGAGGGCTGAGTGAAAAAGGCGAAGGGATTAAAAAACAATAACTCATAGACACAGACAACAGTATGGTGATTACCAGAGAGAAAGGGGAGTAAGGGGGAGGTAGAAGAGAGTAAAGGGGGGATAAATGGTGATGGAAGGAGGCATAACTTGGTGTGGTGATGAAGTATTATACACCTGAAACCTATATAATTTTATTAACCAAATCCTTCCAATAAATTCAATATAAAAATAAAAGCGTTTGTAAGCAAAAAAGAAAAAACATTTCCCTTTCCCCTACTACTTATATATGAAGCCCTTGATATTAACAATATTCTCCTTTTTTCACTTAATTACTTCTTCATTTCTACTTTTACTGTATATGTACTTCTTTTTCAAATCTAGTCTAAATTTATTTTTCAAATCTAAATTTTCTGAGGTTTAGGTGACTCATTTTTCTAAAATCCTACTCACCAGACTGAGAAAGACAATCCAGTGCACAGTCTTTACCTCTGGACACT